GGGTTTTGATTTTACAATTTTATGGTCTGCAAAATCTATAACTGCTTAACTGTACGATTATCCTACCATGTCACCTGATCTATAAAGAGGTTTTGTATAACATTATGTACTAACAACAATTAGAAACTTAATCTACTTCGAAGAAGTAAAGTTTTTGTGCATATTGTACGAAACACAAATATTTTAGGTAAGATTTTAGATTTTAGGAAAAGCGCCGAAATTAATTTCAGTTTACTATGGAATTTCCTATCATGATCTTACTAGGTCTACTAAATGATAAATATTTTTATTTATTGAGAAAAAAATCCTTATTTGTGCATTAGCAAGAATTTACATTTACATAAAGTTTAATTAATAGAATAAACAAAGTTTTAGTTAATTATCTAAAACTAAATGTTTGAATTATAATATTCTATGACATTAAGCAAAATACAATATCCACAAAACTACCAATTAAAATAATCCATATTAAACCATCAATCATAGTATAAGTTTTTTTAGCTAAGAAATATATATTTGAAAAGGCGACCCCAAAGTAAATAAAAGTAAAGAATATAAGAAAAAGTCTTTTAAATGTATGAATGTTTTTTCGATCTATGCAAAATGTAGCTACATCAAAACCAAAGTTCATAGCCCCAGTGACGAAAGCAATTGAAAGATTACTAAAATTATATGTTTGATATCTTTCACCCGTAAAGATAAGTTTAGATTTAGATACTTGAATTATATAATCTATTAAATAAACTATAATAAATAGTAACTTAACGATTTTGAAAGATGTTGCATAAGAAAATTTTTTAATAGCTATAAATTGTATTATTAAAAGGATTGGTATAATCCATAGCAATGCGATCAGGGCAGGAAGTACTTCTCCTGTATTTAAATTTCCTATACTAATTACACTACTATAAGCTACTGCAAGAATAAGATAGGCAAGAAGAGTAGTACCGCTGTTTACATTTGAACATTCTTGATAACCCCTATATAAACTAGGCACTTCACAACAAAAAAGTAGTATCGACAAAGCGAAAGCAACACCTAAAATTTCATCTGCCAAACGTGGTATAATTTTCGCACTGATTTCATTATATATCCAGAGAATAGAATAAAGTATTAAGGATAGTATTTTTAAGAAGCTTATAGCTTTGAATGTGAGTTCATCCATTTTAATATGAAACGGCAAGCCACAAATTTCAACGATAAACGTTTTAAAAATTCATACATGTCGTATCTGGAGTACGATATCGTATAGCAATAGTAGTATTTGCTAAAATGGTTATTTAAGTATTGGCTAAAATTGTTATTTAATGCACGCATGATGATCTAATTTCAGGGGCATAATTTTAGAATCAGATACCTGAAAAAGCTGCTCAGGGATAGGTCGATACTCCAGGTGTAACATACATATAATTATAGTAAATTTCGCTGAAATGCTGAAATTTGACAAAATTGTCATTATGTCTGTAAGAAACCTATAAATGTGCACAAACCTGTATTTAGTGAACCTACTATAATACTGTATGTTTCTTTGTACGTATCAAGCTTTAAGTAAGACGCATGTACGTACGTACGTATATAGCTAACTGATCATCTTGTTACATGCAAGTTTTTTTTTTTTTTTAGTTTTATCGTTATATATACGTAATAATAAGCGGATCCTATTATTTGCCCGAAAACTACTTTCCCGACAATCCGACAAGCTAGCCCGCATTTGGTTAGGCTTAGTGTTTGCTCCGGTCAGGAAAAGTGTTGCCGGGAAAATGATAAAGACCCTTTCGATCAAGTACCATAAAGTTTCAAAACAACCAAAAACAGTCAAATTGTTAATGGACTAGGAAAGCCTCTATTTGAAAGCAGGTGACATGGTAGGATAATCGTACAGTTAAGCAGTTATAGATTTTGCAGACCATAAAATTGTAAAATCAAAACCC